TAAAGGTTACAAACCAAGTCAGATGAATTTGTAACACCTTTGCGAAACAATTTTCTCCCTACTCACATTAAAAGAGTCTTGCGGTCTATCCAAAGCACGTCAAAAAGTTGCGTGTCATAATCTGCTCCTCTGTTTTTAATCAGCTGTCTTTTATACCGCACAGATAATGGGAAGAGACTCAGAACGACGTATGGAAGGAGTTATCTGTTGATCTAGATTTAAAATACCACCATCCTCTAAAGAGTCCAACATCCTTAAACATACCCACTACCTGGCAACCGAGCCCCCACTTTCATCCTGCATCCATCATTTAGGAGGGTCTGGTATGTGCCAAGTAATACACGAGACACTTGGTTTATAAACACAAATGAGACCATTACTGACTTGAAGCAATAATCTAGAAGGATCAGGTCAAGGGAGGAATAATGACATGTAAACAAACAAACCCAAACATGTACCTTAAAAAAAAAAAAAAGACCTTTGAGGGAGCTCAAAAGTCAGATCAAAGTTTTCAACCTCAAGTGGAATTTTTGGGCAATTTCCCAACTTTAATACTTTAAGCCTTGGACCCCTAAGTCTATAACTTTTAGCAGAGAAAGATTTACTTGAAAGAGAAGGAGTCTTGAACAAGAGGAGAAAAATCTAAACTGAACGTACTGAATTATTTTGCTTAAATTCTAAGCGCAAGACGGGCTTCTCCAGTTTCTCTGCAGTTTCCTACCTCGTTTTTCTCCACTAGTCAGTGGGATAAAATCATCCTGAATTCTCTACTTTTGCTCATAATAATCTTTGATTCCTTTTTGTGAACCCCAACATAATAAGAGCCAACATTCGTTTTGAATTTTACAGTTTATAGAATACTTTCACATACTTTGCAGATCATTTGTTCCTCACTGTAGAACGTTATTGCCTTCATTTTACAGATGAGAAAATTGAGGCTCCCAGAGGTTAAAATAATTCCCACAAAGTGAAACAATTAACAGTTGGAGGAGCTGGAACTGTAACCTTGGTCTTGATGGCCAGATCCCAGTCGCTGGTTACACAGTACCAAGTTCTATTGATTTCTATCAGGGTCTCTACCTTCTCTCCCTCCTTTTCTACCTTCTATCTTTATTACAATAGCCTTATAACCAGTCTCCCTCCAGTTCCTACCACAGTCGGTTTAATCACTTGGTAACATGGACCAATTTGAGTCACTCCAGAAAAAGGCACAGAAGCATGTATGCAAATATTTCTCATATAACTTGAACCCTGTTCACAGACCCCTGCCCCCAGATCTATCCCATACATCTCCTAAAACTCCTCTATGATCATATTTCAAGGCTCAAAAACCTTTAGTGTTTTCCCACTGCCTAGTGAATGAAACAGATTCAGCACCCTGGCATTCCAGACCTTTCCTGCTTCTTTACTGTAAGTCCGCTATACAAATTGCAGATCCACGATCCTAACTAATAACTGGCATCCTTCAAATATGCTTTATGCTTTCTTTCTCACCACTGTGCTCTCAACACGAAATGTTATCTACCTCCAGCCTCTACCAATACACGAATCCAGCCTCTTTGCTTGAACAGACTTCATAACAGAACTCACTCCTCCTCCCACATACAGCCCATCCCAGCTTTGTCTTGTGTTAAAGAAATAAAAAGGAAACAACAGACCTCTTTCCTATTTTAAAATGAAAATTACCTTTCATTAGCATTTGTGGTATTTGAAGTAACAGGTAATGAATTTAATCTGATTCCACACTCTCGCCTTTCTGCTTGCCTTCCTTAGTGCACCATGTCACTTTGTCAGAGGATGGCACTCGGAACTGAGCACAGTTCTCTCTGTTTGATAGCGACAGTGCTTTTGCCCCCTACAACAGCTTGAGCACAGGACAGAAGAGCAAGCGTCTTGTTGTGTTGGCGCTGTTCTGTCAGGGCTGCCCAAGGCTGATTAACTTTGTGGGCAACCACATGGCATCACTGACTATTAAGGTTGCAGGATGCTAAAACCCATAAGGTCTTTTTCACGTGTGCTGCATTCAAGCCAGGTTTCCTGAACTAAAGGCAGCATTTTACTTCCTCTTTATTCCACATTACTTTTTTATTTTTTTTTTTTGCGGTACGCAGGCCTCTCACTGCTGTGGCCTCTCCCGTTGCGGAGCACAGGCTCCGGACGCGCAGGCTCAGCGGCCATGGCTCACAGGCCCAGCCTCTCCGCGGCATGTGGGATCTTCCCGGACCGGGGCACGAACCCGTGTCCCCTGCATCGGCAGGCGGACTCTCAACCACTGCTCCACCAGGGAAGCCCTCCACGTTACTTTTTTATTAGAATCAGCCTACCAATATTCTTTGCCACCATGAATCCAGTCTTCTAAGATATTACGTGTCCCTCCCAATCTCCTGGCATCAAAAATATGATTAATTTATCATCAGTGTCCCGTTTCAGTTTAGTGATTAATATGTTGAATAGGGCAAGGATAAGTATCCTGTTAACTCCATTATATCCTTCCTCATCATCATTCTTCAAAAGTCCAGACCACATTCTGTTCTATCCAGGAGCAAGAGGGTCTTAACCTTTAACGTTCACGAGAATCATCAAAGATGCTTGATAAAAATGTAAACTCCCGGGTCTTAGCTCCAAAGATTCAGTAGATCTGGGATAGGGGCCCAGAAATCTGGATTTTTAATAAGCTGAATGTATTGGGTTGGCCAAAAGGTTCATTCGGGGTTTCCCGTAACATCTTACAGAAACACCCGAATGAACTTTTTGGCCAACCCAATACCTAATATTGCGGTGAAAAGACCACACTTTAAAAATGGTGCTCTAAACTTTTTTCGATCCCATATGTCTCCCTCCTCTGGGTTCCTATAGCTGCATTAAAAACTCATGGTACCAAGGGTCCTATCCATCTTATTCTCCGAGATATTTCTAGCGCATGGCACATTCCTGGGAACATTACAGGCTCAATAACTTTTTGTTAAGTTAATAAATGAATCTTTATTGTCTGTGCCATTCATGTAACACAGGACTATATTAAACCCACTGGTATATAGGTGAACTCTCAAACTCAATTATTACCGCAGAAATGACAAAGGCTATGTAAAATACAGATTTGTGTCTTCTGCAGCACCTTGAACATGGAATATTACTCCATAATATTTATCAAAATAGATAAGAGGAAGTGAATAGAGATTCTAGAAACAAAGATACATGAGAACTTGGCAAACAACACAGTTGACATAAACCAGCTGGTAAAGAATGGAATGTTTAGTTTTAAAAGGTACTGGGAAAACTAACTATCCATAAAGAAAAATATAAAATTAGGTCCCTTCCTTATACCATATACCATACACACACACCAAAAAAACTGTAAACAGATTAAAAATCTAAATAGGAAAAGCAAAATTGTAAATTTCTTTTTGTAAAAAACTACCATCTTCATATGGGGCTAAAGAAGAATTTTTAAAATAAGATATACAAAGCTTTTATAAGACTTAAAAAATTGACACATTTAAATATATTAAAATTAAAACATCTTCATAAGAAAGAAACCTTAAACTAGGGAAAGGACATGCCCCAGATTGAGAAAAGTTATTTGTAACACATAATAACAAAGATTCTGTACAAAGAATATATCCCCAAATATGTTTAAATCAATTACAAAAGACAATCGAATAGAAAAATAAGCAAAGGATGTGAACAAATAATTCATGAAAGAGGAAGACACTAATCAGGAAAATAGAATTAAAAAGAAATCCGAAAACTCTAAGACTGGCAAAAATTGAAAATGTTGATGGTATCAAGTTGGGGTAGGGATGTGAGGAAACAGGAACTTACACATTGCTCTGATATAAACTGATACAGTTACTTTAGAACATAAGTTGGCAGTGTCTAGTAAAATTGAACGGCACCCATACTCCAGGACCCAGCACAATGCTCCCACATGTCTGTACCAATGAGACACGTAATGGATATCTAATGCAACATTGTTTTTTAATAATGAAAGAATGGAAACCACCTAACCTTCCACCAGTAGGAGAATAAATAAACTGAGGTTGGTTTCGTCTTACAATAGGAGTTAACACTCATATGGCAGTTAAAATCTACATGGATGGATTGTAAATACACAATGAAGCCATATATTTTCACATATGATAAAATACAAAACAAATTTTTGGTTGTAACAATTTTTCAACACTATGGTACATGTTTTACTTAAAACATTTTATGAGTATTTTTAAGTACACAGAATAGTGAAACCCCTTGTACTCATCACCTTGATTCAATAACTATCAATATTTGCTAAGCAATGGTATACATTTTTAAATACTAAAATTTATGCTGAGGAAATGTCCATTAGCCAGGGCCCACAAAAGAGCACAGGACAAGGAGAAAGGACCACTAGGTTCTAGTGCAGGTGCTGTCACCATAAGCAGTGTGACTCTGGCACACTGAATCTCTCTGCATGGCTTCCCCTCTGAACTGGGAAAACTTCAGATTGGGCTGATAAAATTCCTGGGACAAACGGAAATAATCAGGATGCAACCTGACAGGTACAAATAGAGAAATCTAAAAGACACAGAACACCAAGAAGACCCAAAGGTTCTAAAATTCAAATCAAAACACCAAATCAAAACACTAAACCTGGACTCCCTATTCCTTACCATTCATAATCAAATAATCTGAGGTCTCTTCTAGCGATATGGGGATATGATTTCATCCTCAGATATGTTCTTGGGGGAAGCACAAACACAGCTGCCTCCCCTTCAAAAACCGATCTTGTCTTCTCCTTAACTCTAGAGTTTGCTTTAACACCAGGTAGCAGGTAGCTTCCTGAGAGCTCTGTTTGCTCCTGATGTTTCCCCCTCACTTCCACAGTGCCACTGGTAGAGACAAGGAAGGCCTACAGCCTGGCTCTGACACCCCAAGTTTCTAGCACGCTGTAGAGCAGGAAGGGATTGGAAGAACTGGCAAATAAGAGCCAAACCTAGTTGTTTGGAAAGGTGGACACATACCTCTTGAAGCAGTGTGCTGCTGTAAGGACCCAGCAGCTACTCAGGAGTGTGGCCCCGCAAAGGAGTCTGCCATCTCCATGGGATGACTTGAGCCGGAGGGACACTTGCCAAGGCCAACCACCCCTAAGAAGAAAGTAAGCCACTCATCAATATCCATAAAAGGCCGAAAAGCAAGGACAGTCATCCAGCAAAACAAGGACTTAGAAGGCTTGCATGTGGGAGGAAAGAAGTAAAAAGGGGATTCTAGGATGTAGACTCCCTTCCTACTTTCAGAATGAATATTCTTACAACTTTGAGCAGACCACCCTGAAGACTTGCTTATAGCATGTGTATGCATCCCACCAAATTCTGACGTTTTTGGAAACAATCTGTGTCTTCTTTATATTTCATGATTTGAAGCATATTTTCTCCCTCACCTAAGCAGCCTGAAGAAGTTTTTTTTTTGTTTTGGCTTGTGGAATCTTAGTTCCCCGATCAGGGATTGAACCCAGGCCACGGCAGAGAAAGCACCGAGTCCTAACCACTGGACCACCAGGGAATTCCCCGGAAGAAGTATTTAATAAGCAAAGTACTGGTTTTCCACTAGTAAATTCAACAAATAAAAAAATTATATTAAAATGAGTCAAGTCCAAAACAAATATATTCTAAATTAAACAAATTTGTAGTTATACATTTTTTTCAGATTTCCTGTTAAATTCGTTTGTTTCTGCCACATAACTTTTCAGCAACCCATCTATCTCATAAATCAGGGGATAGCGATTTGAAGAACATGGTCTATATAAAGTAAATATAAGTCAAAGGACAGTGAAATTATCAGTGTAATCTGTATTTGAAGAACCTTTTACCTTAAAGAATTTTTCCCACCAATGATCCGCTTCTGCCGACGGTGCAGTAATCTCAAACCACAAACAGATAAGAGAGACTCTGAAGCAGAAAGAGGTTTTAATTAAACTATCATATTGCTGATAGTGGGGTAAAGACACAAGTGACACATTCCCCTGACGCTTCCTCTATTTTAAAGTGCTTTTTCTCTTCAAATTATAGGCTATTTTTCTTACAATAAAAATTAAACTTTTAAAAAAATTTATTTTATTTATATATGTTATTTATTTTTGGCTGCATTGGGTCTTCACTGCTGCACATGGGCTTTCTGTAGTTGCGGCGAGCAAGGGCTATCGTTGCAGTGTCAGGCTTCTCATTGCGGTGGCTTCTCTTGCTGCGTAGCATGGGCTCTAGGCATGTGGGCTTCAGTAGTTGTGGCTCGTGGGCTCAGTAGTTGTGGCACATGGGCTTAGTTGCTCCGCAGCATGTGGGATCTTCCCAGACCAGGGATCGAACCTGTGTCCCCTGCATTGGCAGGTGGATTCTTAACCACTGTGCCACCAGGGAAGTCCTATCTTATAATAAAAATTAAAAGTTGTTTTCTCATTTAACCAAGGCAACAATAATTTCACAAGTAGACAAGGAACTTTATGAGGTTTCCTACAATCAGCTCTGTAGAGGTTTCACAGGCTGCTGAATGATTTGGCCCTGTCTAGTACATCATCCTTGTGGTACCCACATCTCCTCCTCTGCTGATTATAGATGATTGTTCGGGAGTTCAGAAATATTAAACAACAAAACTACAAAAAGCAACAATGCTCTGAATTATTTGATTTTCACAGACAACGCTCTTCCAAGCCACATACACAAATGTAACTCATAGGAGCAAAGCACATTCCCAGGATGAAATTCTGACATAAATTTACATTTACTCATATAGCATGTTAATATATGGAAAGGATTTACTAAGCCAATTTAAGTGGCAAATTGTATTTAAGGATATATATAGTCAAACTTCTCAAGATAACAGAATTCTGTCAAAAGCATAAAAAAAGAAGAGTTAAACTAAAAATACATGAAAAGGTGGTGTATAAAAGAAGAGTAAATAAACTATGACTAGCTTTAAAAATAATTTTAGAAAGTAGGAGAATCTATATGGGGATACGCTGTTTCTTTGGTTAAGTACACGTGTATAAAGTATAGATATATACTGTTTTTCTATCTGTGTAAGAAGAGAAGGGTAGGAATTGTGCCAAGACCATGAAAGTCTAGTCAGCACTAATGTTGTCCCATAATAACCAGGTAGAAGGGAGCCCAATATGGAATCAGCACTAGTTATTTCTTCATGGAGAGAGAGGTTCAACAATGTGTACCAAGATCATTAATTTGTCAAAGGATCTCAGAGACAGGCTGTCAAACCTTAATCCTCATCTCTTAGGTTATGAGTCCTCTACATGACACTGCAAATTATAAGATACCAGAAAAACAGAAGTTTCCAGTAATGTTCCAAGTCAGGTCAATGTATATAATGCCATGACAAGGAATGATGTAACACTAAGCAAGCAGAGCTGGAAGTTTACATCATTCTGGAGTAAAGAAGAAGATTGCAAGAAATCAAAATCTATTTAAAGCCATAAAACCCATTATTATAAAAAATTATAAAGTAAAATGAAATTCATTTATAAAAGGATCCCATCAGATGACCAGTAACCACTGGCTTGGGTTTGAATCACCTTATAGAAATTATTAGTTCTTGAGCCTCCACACAAAGTCAACAGGTTAATAATAAACCAGATTCAGTAATCCAGCTGGTCTAAGACGAATTGTTTTAATTTCAGATATGGTAGCATTAAGACCATGGAAAGGTATCAAAATAAGCAGTGCTACACCTTTGGAAGGCATTAAAACAAATGTATTAATAATGAAGAAATAGATATGGTATTTCATATTTTAAAATAGGTTTACATAGAAATATGGTAGAACATTTTACAATTACTGAATTTTTATGCTTTTCTGCTGCTTAAGAAATTTTCCATAATCCAAAGAATTAATTATGTTCACTTTGTAACTGTAGTTTAAATTATTGGAGGGAATTTAATACATTAAATTATAGTCAATACTTAGGAAAAATTGGCTTACCAAATCATATTTATGTCATGTAATATATATGTGTGTATATATATTATATATATATAAAACAAAGCACAAAGGGTTATAAATATTCTTCTCCAGACTCAAAAGACCCTCAGATAGTGAAGAATCATATTAACAACATCCAATTTATTTATTGCATTGTCTTTAATGGTTATTAAAAGATATTAGAAAAAGAGAATGCTCAGATACAGGTGCACTTGATTTTTTTTTTAATTAATTAATTTATTTATGTATGGCTGCGCTGGGTCTTCGTTTCTGTGCGAGGGCTTTCTCTAGTTGTGGCAAGTGGGGGCCACTCTTCATCGTGGTGCGCGGGCCTCTAACTATCGCGGCCTCTCTTGTTGCGGAGGACAGGCTCCAGACACGCAGGCTCAGTAATTGTGGCTCACGGGCCCAGGTGCTCCACGGCATGTGGGATCTTCCCAGACCAGTGCTCGAACCCGTGTCCCCTGCATTAGCAGGCAGATTCTCAACCACTGTGCCACCAGGGAAGCCCTAGATGCACTTGATTTTAAGAAAATCTTAAGTATCAAACCATGGATTCTTAATCCACATAAATAAATGACTGTTCTTTTCATAAAACATAACCATAGTTTTCTCCAAAAGAGCTAGTTTTCCCCCTTATTCATTTAAAGCTGTATTTGTTTCATAAAAATTAAACTCAGAGCTTTTAAGAACTCTTCTATTTATATATGTATGACACATCCATTACTGTATTATACTAGAAGATTACTTCTATTTTCCTTACATTTTTATTTTTATTTAAATTTTATTTATTTATTTGGTTGTGCCGTGTCTTAGCTGCGGCAGGCGGTCTCCTTAGTTGCAGCTCACGGGCTCCCTAATTGCAGCAGGCAGGCTCCTCAGCTGCAGTTTGCGGGCTCCTTATTTGCGGCATGCGAACTCTTAGTTGCAGCATGCATGTGGAATCTAGTTCACTGACCAGGGATCGAACCCGGGCCCCCCACATTGGGAGCACGGAGTCCCATCCACAGCGCCATGAGGGAAGTCCCCCCTTACATTTTTAAATTTCAGAGAGTAGAATCTACAAAAGATAATTTTCTTTTTGCAATTAATTTTAAAAATTATCCTTGCTGTTTAAGATATTAATAAGAGTAGAAGAAGTGCCCTTCTCTGATTCATCTTTAAATTTTCATTTCTTCTTTTTATGAAGCAAATATAAATTCTGAATCTTCAAGAATACCAGCAAGTTTGATAGTTTTATTACATCCAGAGAAGGAACAGTTAGAAATGGCTAAGAATGTCAAAAGGGGACAATCTCAGAGATTACAAAATCCTGTAAATCCACTCCTGCCCCTGAACCCTGCTGTCCCTTGTGAGTCCCATCCAGTAAAGTTTGTCAAGAACCACTGCCTCTAAATACAAGCAGAAGGAACAAGGGATTGAGTATATTCTTACGGAGGGGAGTTTCATTATCAAAGTACTGCTTAGAATAATGAAGTGTGGCTTTGTATTCTTTGACTTGTATAGGCCCCAGAAGGTTACGTACCTTTATTACTGTTACCTGATGCTTTCTTGTCAAAATAATCACAAATAACTCCTGCATCTTCACCGTGGCGGCAGTTGTGTCTTCCAATATCTTGTTTGATACAGTCAGCCAGGGACCTCTCATTTCCTGTGCACTTCACATTATCCACATGGATGGGTCCTTTTCCTTCCCCAAAATAAGCCATGGTTCTTGCTCTGGCAGGACCCCTGGAAACAGAGCATTCTTGAGGATGTGGAGAATCAGTCAAACATACAATTGAATAAATCACAACATATACCCTCATTCAATTATATTTCTTAACTCATACATTAAAACACTTATTTCATGACTCTGTCAAAAAAAAATAAAAGCTTGAGCGCGTAATAACTATACATTCTTTGTTTTCATATCTCAGAACTTCTTGATTACATCTTAGCTCCTACTAAGAAAGTCACATTTAATGGCATGTCAAAAATTTATGGTAGTCTTAAACTCTAGTTTAATCAGGAAAAAAAATCACCTCAAAATTTTCTACTCCCTTCCAGAGCATAGTACTCTCTTAAAGTTGGTATAGTAAGACTTCCCTGGTGGTGCAGTGCTTAAGAATCCACCTGCCAATGCAGGCGACACGGGTTTGAGCCCTGGTCTGGGAAGATCCCACATGCCGCGGAGTAACTAAGCCTGTGTGCCACAATTACTGAGCCTGTGCTCTAGAGCCTGCAAGCCACAACTCCTGAGCCTGCGTGCCACAACTACTGAAGCCTGCGCACCTACAGCCTGTACTCCACAAGAGAAGCCACCGCAACGAGAAGCCCGCGCACTGCAACAAAGAGTAGACCCCGCTCACTGCAACTAGAGAAAGCCCGCACGCAGCAATGAAGACCCAACGCAGCCAAAAATAAATAAAAATTAATAAAAAAGAAATTGGTACAGTATTTCCAAGAAAATTACGAGAATTAAATAATTACCTAGGGAGCTAAGAATTTTTAAAGCCTACTTTAGAAGTACAAAAGCACAATTTTTAACTGAGAAAGAGAACACCAGGAATCATGAATAGAAGGCAGACTTAATTTGGTATATCACTTTTCTTTGGTTTCTGTTTTTTTAAATAATATATTACTTCTTTTTAAATATCCAAACACAAAATCTTTTTAGTGAAATATTTCAAGCTAACACCATATTCAAAACTCAGCTCCTGCTAAATTAGTGACATAAGAACGGAAAAGTTTTAAAGTTTGAATTATAGGAAAATTATCCTTATAACCTCAAGTTAGGGAAAGACTTATTAAACAAGACACAGATGTATACCTTAAATTAAAAGATTGATAAATTCAACAAAAATTAAATTAAGAATGCCACTTTACTAAAAAACACCCACAGGAAAGTGAAAAGATAAGTTTTAAAGTTGACGAATATATATATATATATGTTGGTGGATGCATTCTCTGATAGAGGGACATAGCATACAATATACAAATAACTCTCAAATTTCATTTATAGAATAAAAAACCAACACCCTAATAGAAAAACAGGCAAAAGACAGGTTTTAAATCAAAAGAAACTGTCTTATTAAAAATGACAATATGGACCAGATTTCTAACATTAAAATATTCTACTTAGTTAAGATAAGGTTATTATACTTTCCTTATAGTTATGCAAGGAACTCAGGCAAAGTAGTTTACTGATATGAATTATCTGAGGAATTTGCTTGAATAATCCTCTTTCAGCAATGAGACCTGGCCTCACATGCTTGTAGTTGGCAGTACACTCATTTCAAAAATATACCCCATCATTTCTTCTGTATTGGTAACTGCTACTCTGACATAAATTGCAAATAAAAATAAGATTTAACCCATTAAAAATGCTTACAGTCATGGAAGATCAAACAGGTAACTCTAAAGTTACTCTTTTTTGAATCTGAATCGACATTTCTTCAAAGAAGATATACTCATGTACAACAAGCGCGTGAAAAGAGGCTCAGCATCACTGATTATCAGGGAAATGCAAATCAAAACCACAGTGAGACACCACTCATGCCTACTAGGATGGCCATTGTCAAAGAGATGGACAATAAAGAGTGTTGGTGAAAAAAAAACTTTTGTATCAATTTTGATAATTATATTTTTGTTGAAAATGTACAGTTTCCTAGATAATTGTTCATTTCATCTAGATTTGCAAATTCATTAGCTAAAAGTAGTTCATAGTATTTTACAATTTTTAACCCTCTGTGTATCTGTGCTTATATTCCTTTTCTTTTCTCTAATGTTTACTTGTATTCTCTCCTTCTTAATCAGAATTGTCAGGAATTATTTTATTAATCTTTTTAAAAAATGGAAATAATTGCTGATATGGGCATGCGTAATGTAGAGCAACTTAAAATTCAAATAGGTATACTTTGAAGAAAATTAAAAACTAATAGCAACCTGAAACTAATATCCCAGATGATTCCCATCAGTTTTGGGTGTGAGGATGAGTAGAGATAGAAGGTAAATAACAGTATGCTAAATCTCTTGATGTATTTCAGGAAGGGGAAGTTACAAATAATTTTTGAAATTAGTAAGAAAATATGCCAGTATGTTTGCTAAAATTTTTTTCAAATTTCTAGTAAAACAACAACAATGCTGAAATTCCAGACAACTAGAGAAAGGAAAGAAAGAAAATTGGATTGTTTGCAAATCAGAAAACCGAAGATTACACAAAGAACAGAAAATAAAGCAAGATAAATAGCATAAAAGTAGATGACAGATGGAAGTAAACATGTAGAAAATAAAATTAGACTCATTAAATAAAACAAAAGGATGATTCCTTAGTAATTTACCAATCAATGCACAAGCTAAAGAGAATGCACCATTTTAGATATATCAACAAGTAGAATTAGAGAACATTTTAACTAATGAAAGTACATAATTAAAGACATTTTCAATGATATAGTGAAATCTAATAAATTTTTTTGACTTTTTAAAAAATAATTAAGGACTGTGTCACCTATAGAGACTTCTCACTGGACTACAAGCATGCAGTAATTCATAGCTAAGAATTCCAATGAGACAATAGGCTCTAATACATTAGTCTTTAAACTGAGTATCAAGTGCTCCTGGGAGTAGGTGATGACTTTCCAAGGGATATAAGGACTTTATGGGAACTGATATGCAGATCATCAAAACCCACGTGTATTCTCTCCTAAAACTGGTCTTGCTAAAGTCAAGGTCAACTTCTCTTTCAAAATTTCCCTTTTCCCACTGCGCAAAACAAAGGTATATCTTTCACTCATCCCAAATCCAATCACAGTGCATTGCTCCAAGATTTAAAAGACTCTAAAGTGGCCAAAAGAACAATTCAAAATAAATTTTATCCAAGGACCAAAAACCCAACCCCTCAGTCTAGGAAACGGAAGCTTTGGTCAACTTTTCTTTCCTATGTTTAATACTTATTTATCAAATTTTATTTTTTGTTGTTGTTTTTAATTAGTTGTGTACTAGAAATCATAAAATCCTGAGAGGAACTTGTTAGAAGAATTAATTTCTCTCTTTCTCACTCTCTCCATGTGTGTACACACACACACACACATACACACACACATACACACACATTTTTAAAAACATAGGACATTAGGATTCTGTGGGGAAAGAAAATTTAAACCACAATTTCAAGGAGAAAAAGGAACTATGTAAAATTTGTGAAGGTGAAAAAAGAGCTTGCTCATGTATTTTTTTAATGAATGACAGAGTATCAAAGCACTATATTTATATTTTATTGGATATAATTAAGAGTGAAGTAACTGTTCTATTTTTAAATGTCATATACAAATATGCCAGAAATTAAATCCTTTGCAGCTATTTAAATGTAAGATAAAAATTAGATATACTTAACTTTAGGTCTCTACTAAGACAATAGGGGTACATCATTTTTTAAATTCTTTTAAGGGATACTACTCTAATAAATACACAGTTCAAAAACAATGTCATATTGAAATATATGCTAATGGATTCACACAAAGTTCAGATAGAATGGAATTTCCATCATGGCTATTTAGTCTTTCTTAACGAGGCTAACTGATAGCAACACATTCTCTCTCAACCCTCTAAAAACAATGTGTTCATATGCTAGACTTTGTCAGACATTATGTAATACATCATTAAAGAGTGCCTTTTACTTTCTGTTCACTCTAAGCATATCTATGTTAGTTACCATTCATGTTCCTGGTTTTTATTACTTCATTTCTGTTTCTCCCATTATGAAAAAGCTTTCTAATGCTATTTTGATTCTCAGTGTTTCTAAGGACTAATCCTCAGGTGTGATATAGCTGGCTGGGGGACAGTTCTCTGGAATTCTTATTAATAAAACTCAAGCCTTTTGATAGTTTCAAAGTTTTCTGGATTGATTTCTACAAATAAATTGCTTTATTAAAGACTTTTATTAATTCGAAGTAACATGGGGGAAAAAAAACCTTTTCTAATCACATACCTATTTACAATTATATATATGTTCTTATATGAAATTCCATCTCCCCTTGGTGGAAAATTATAAAACGTTCAAGTATATTTAGATTGATCAAATATCGAAATGATTTTCTTTTAAATACTATTTGATGGCAAATTGTAGCTTGTGCACTAGATGTCTATCCAATTTGTCATAGTTACATTAAATTACTGAATTATGTGTTAAGAGGCTTTATTTTAAAAACAAGTATGAAGTATGATCTTCCTTTAATGCTTTTCTTGATAATTGTTACAGAAATAGTATTGAAAATTGCTACAAACTTTGTTCACTTAATCTAGATTGTTCTTACCTAAATTCACCATTTGAGTTAAATGTAAAATGGGCTAAATGATAAGTAAAAAGCAATGAAAAATTTAGAAAGAAATCAAAGTGAAAATGCATTGATGAATATTCTTACAAAATTTTTTTCCTTAAACATGACTTAGACACACAATTCAAGGATCAAATTTGACCTTTTCTTTCATATTTTCCTTCATATTTCCAAAGGTAATGCTAGGTTTCTTGGATCACCTCTACCAAAAAAATAAAAGTAAGCCAAAAAACCAGTCTCAAGCAGTATATACTTTAATGGCTGATTTTAGGTAAGGAAATTCACTGGGCATGTAATGTAAGAACAATAATGTATATATGTGTGTATATATATACATTTTTTTTTCAAATGGAGAACAAAATGTTAGAAATGTAGTGAGCAAAGGAAACTTAAATTGTTGACTGAATTCATCTAGGCATCTAATGTAGATGCTTCCTCCCTTCCTCTATTACCCCATATTTTGAAAGCTGAAAATATGTCACATACCAATTTTGAATACTGAAAATCTATATTACAAATAATGGACCCACTGACCATAGGACAACTGGAATTGCAACTAGGTCCAAAACTGAACCGTAAATTGAAGTAGTATCTGAGTAACCAAAAACAAACTCTGACTTAAAACTTTAGGGAAAAAAAAAAAAAAACATTTGAACTTTTATCAAAATAGAAATAATTTTTAAAATAAAAATGTATTCTGCATAGGAATAACCAGTTAAATTTATCAATATTTAAGATACACATAGATGTGTAATTAAGGATATATTTTAAAATCCAAACCACTATTAGTAATACAATATAAGCGAGGCAAATTATGTATATTAGCTTAAATTTCATGACCCTCTAAACTGTAACATGTTCCATATATTTGCAACTCCAAAATCAATCAGCCCTTTCACAGTCATTTGCAGACATGCGTAAAGTCTCAAAAAATTTGAGTTGCCCAGCTGAGGTCTCACAAGGAGATAAACTGCCTTTCTAGTTCAGCTCTCAAACTGGAAATAAGTGTCCTTTCTCACCTCATTTAGTGCCACATTTTTCGTGCTATAACTCATGCCTGAATGAAGCCCATTTAACACACTTATTTTCTCTGTAAGGCATATCACAGCATTCCTTCATTCAAGAATGTTAGACAGCACTTCAGCAAAATTCTTGGGGACCATTTTAAACAGGGAAATCATCAACAAAAAGGTACAGAAATGGAAAAAAAAAAAAAGCACTAGGAGACTGCGAAAAGGGCAATTGTTTGCAAGCACAAGAGCTGAAACAAGAAGGCAGAACATGGCTTGGTTCAGCCTCAGCTCTAGAAGCAATGGCTCAGTATTTTCTAACTCGATGTTCACAGTGACTTTAAAGAATGTAACTACTGCAAATAACAAGAACCAACTGTAATTTCAGTAACAGTAGAATCCCTTATAAGGCTACTGTGTTACGACATAAATCACATAGAAAAGGTTAACACCTTTGGCTGACAGAAGCAGTAGAATGAATAGTCAAGAGTTATTAGACTATTTGTTACTAGATAAAAGCTACATTTCTTAAGTAACATAATGTATATTTCTTGTGAGAAAATAGAAAAATTTAAAGAGACTCTACTTTGTATTTCTTTATAATTCTGACTCAAATAAGCATGCTGCCAGTATTTTCAATTGAATCACAGAAGTTAATTTTAGGCAAGAACAAGGATAAAAAATCAGAAATTTTCATCAGATGAACATCCCAAATAGAGTTAGGTTTTCCTTACTTGTAGCCAAGCTGTCGACAGATCACAGTTGCATCCTTATCAGTCCACCCATCGTCACAAATTGTTCCCCACTGGCCATTGATAAAAACCTCCACTCGTCCTTCTTTCTTATTTTCTCCATCCATCAGTCTGATTGGAAAACCTAAGTCATGATTCAAAAGTATTAGAAAAGCCAAAACAAGCAAACTGATACTAAAGCATGAGAGACTTTATAAAGTACTATTTGTTTGTAAAAGGAGCTAAAAATCAGCTGGGCAATGAGAGAGAGAGAGGGAGAGAGAGAAAGAGGAGAGATACCAATTAAAAAAAAAAAACTGTATCTACTTTTGCAATATCTTCTGTAGCCTTGAAGTCAGAGCGCTGATCCTGTCTAACTTTGTATTCCCAGCACTTGGAGCGGTGCCCGGCATTACAGTGTATAGAGTACACATAATAGCTGTTTCTTGAATAAATGAATATATATCACTGTAAAATCGTGGATTATTTTATTACCACTAACTTCCAGTTAGTAAAAGACATTAACTTGGAGTTGCTTTTGTTCTACATCTACTACTCACTTATCCATGAACACACCTAGAAATTTATACTCCAAAGCTAGGATTTTTAGGCAGGATTTTCAGATATACCTTTGCATGCATGAGTAACTTGAATGATGGAAGAGAAAAAAAAAAAAAGGCAAGCACAAGGACAATTTCTATCTCAGCCCTCCTATTTACTATGGATTCCAAAGGAAGGGCTTAAATCATAAAAATTATTAAGATGTAAAAGTTGAGAAACTGACCTCTAGCAAATTGGGATTTATCTAAATTATGCAAATAAAGTGGTTTATAGAGTCTTTCACACATCTCTATCAACACCAATAAATATGGTTTTGTTTAATCAAAAGTCCTCACTATGGCTTGCATACTGCCAGGGGTCGAATTGTGAAGTCATTAGAGGCAGCTCTAACCCAATTTGTGCACAGAAATATACAGAAGGAAGACAGAGTGAAGAGACATAGGAGAAAATGGCCACCTGTAAGCCAAGGAGAGAGGTCTTGAACAGATCTTTCCCTCCCGGCCCTCAGAAGGAACCAACCTCTGTGGACAACCTCAGCTTTGGACTTCTAGATTCCAGAAGTGTGAGACAATAAATATCTGTTGTCTAAGCCACCCAGTATGTGATACTTGATTACAGTAATATACATGCTTTAGATTACCTAGTTACTAGAAGTGTCTCCAGCTTCGGAGCCCTTAAGATTGACTGTTAAGGATTTAGGGAATACCATCAAACACAGTGAAATTAGCAGAGCCAAGGAGGTGAAGTAAGCAGCTAATGAACAGAGTATCATTCTATATGTGTTTAAACCAACATATGTAATCACTAGACAACATTTGTTAACTGAAGGAAAATACTGTTGGCAAGATGGACACATCCTACTTTGATTCCTCTGATTCTTCTTTGTTGCCCCCAGAGTTGCTGGCTCTCTAATTTCTGTCCCTGATCATACTTCGTGGAACAGGCATCACAGTAGAATCAACATAGCAAAGTCAAAATCAACAAATGTTTGTGGAGTGCCTACTCGATGCACTGCTTACATTAGCTGAAAATCTTGGTGTTTTAGGTGTGTCACAAAACACAGTGTATTTGAAACTTAACATTTCTTATTATTGTATCTGAAATTTGGGGATTCTCTGCAAGAGGAGCAAGGCCAAAAAGTGATCCTCAATGAAAAAATTTAAACAGATGAAATTCTTAAATTTTTCAGTTTTTACATTTTTTAGATCTTTGGTGCAAAATTAAGAAATCATATGTACATGGAATTAGACCTCCACATTCCACCCTAGTTGTTTTATGGGCAGCTTTTCACATACCATAAAAATAAAAATGATAAAGTGTTTTTAAAGCCTAAGTTGCATACTTTGTAAAAATAAAAATACGGTATTCTTAACCTAATTTTAGCCATCCATTTTATAAAATCATTGGATTTTCAATGCCTGAAGGGAAACTGAATGACAGAAGCCATTCTATCAATACCACCCTACTGCTTAAGTTCTATCTGTTATGGCAATAATAATATACATGTTTTATTTCTAAAATCTTAAATAAATATAAAATGCTTGGGAAAACTAAACAGTCCTGCGGGTATACAGTATCTTTAATTATATACCTCAAACTCTGATCACAGTAGTTTTCTTTGTTTCAATTTTCCTGTAACACTGATTTAATACATTATCTTAAGAAAATAATATTTTTCCTAGAAAAAAGATAAAATCTAGCATAAATTAAATTAAAAGTCAAACTTTATTTGAGTAAGAGACACTCTCACTGTGAAAGAAATCTCTGCTAAGATTTAATACTCTAAACTTTAGAATTAAAGCAGTATTAAAATGAGAAATCTACACATTGACCATCCCACAAATTTCCCCCAATTCACATAGGCATTAACTGCATTCTTACTAAAATTACTTTTACTGACCTAGAATATTGCTTTTGAGCATTCCATCTACCACACACCCAAAATTAGAAAGTGTCTATTGAACTACTACTAATTTTGAGAAAAGTTTCATTCACATTTAAAGTTAAGGTCCACAAGTTACCCTTCAAATAGTTGAAAACTGTAATAGTCTAACAGCTCTTATCACAGTGCCAAGGAAGTAAAAAATCTCAATTGTTTTTAAAATGCTGTTGTTTATACCACTATTCCATGATCTCCTCTTTTTGTTATGCAGTCCTTTTTGATAAGTGGGAAAGTAATGATCTCTTTGGATGAATAAATGGTAATCTGATTCTATTCCAAAAGGATAAATTTGGCTCAGATATAATATCCTTTGAACAAATGAATGGTTAATAGATATATTACCAAAATTAGGACCAAAGAATTCATAATAATGATCCCATATTTTATTAATAATTATCACCCTTGGAAAATTAAAGATTTTTAGGGGAACTGAAAGGATTAGATGTCCTAACTGTATGTGTTTCATCACCTGGAACACTGATGGAATGTGCCTGAACATATCACTCCATGATCCAAATACCCGCTCTCTGGGGCTAAGAGGGTCCAGTTCTAGCAAATAGGCTCTATCTCCCCCAACCACATGCAATGATTCATCGCATAATCCTGGGAGGATCATAAATCCTTTATAAGAAGAAAGGAGCAAGGGAAGAGAACAAACAAAAAGAAACAAAATTGAAAATATGACCCATAAGGGATGGGGTAAAAGACTGTATTTCTACCTGGTGTAATGCTAGATTAGTGCAGTGAGTCACTATGATCTCACAGGATAGAGTACAATGAGGAATCAACCACATACCTTGACAAACTTAAGTACACAAAACAGTTAATACTGTGGGATTCAACACGTTCCATTATTTTATAATGTGAAGATTCCAGCTTCACAGTCTCAAAACAGGAGGATACAAAAAGGGCTGATTCAAGCCTGAGGTGAAACTTAAGAACCACCTGTGGTTATTTTAACATCTATGCACCAAAAAATACATGTATAGATACAAATAGAGCTACTCTACAAATAGGTAGAGTCCTGGCATGTCTTTTAAGTATGTCCCTCTATATTTTTCATTCATATTTATTCTGCTCTCCTTGTTGGATGTTAAGTCTGTCAAGGATATATAGTTATTTGCTCTCTGCTCACAAAAGGACCTTCATCTACAAATATTTAAGACTGTTAGATGAGCTAGGTACCTTTTATCCGGCCGTAAGTCTGAAGAAATTTGGAACTAGGGAGTAATAAAGGACACTAATGGATTTTTAGTAACAGGGTATCTTAGAAAGATAGGCGGACTATTTACTCCAATGAATCCACCTATGAGCCCAGTGAGAAACTTGAAAGATCTAGGTTAGGACAGAGCAAAGGCTGGTTGGTAACCAATGATTGACAAGGCCTCAGGACTAAAGAAGAAATGAATCATGGAGGGTGGGAAAGAGACCTATTGTTTTGTTCTGATTTATTTTTAATCCTTTTTCAAATAGTTCATTAGAATTCAAGGTAAATGGGAAGCAGAATAGGTGACTAATCAGTTGTGGAATGGACATCGTGACTTCTTTAACCCATCTTTCAGATACATGAGAAATTTAGGCTTACAGGTAAAGAAAAATTAGGAGTAGAAATTTATAACATTGGTGGAAAGACTCAAAAGACTATTTTTCTCTGAATGCAAATTACTAAAAATTAGAGCATTTGGGGAAACAGACAAAAAAAAGAAAAATAGACAAAGATGAGAAATGCTTCACATTCCAGACCAGTGGATAGAGGTGTAGTGGCTACTGAAATACGGATACTCAAGAGCTGTGGCAGGACCTCACCCAGAGACAGTCTGTGTCCATCCCTGCCAGGGTAGCAGGAGACAGCAACATCTTCCCGATGGCTGCAGTCATGCCTTTCCCAGGGTCTCCGAGAACACTGAAGGAAACTGGTTTCCTTTCCTGAGCAGTTGACATCATCCAACCATATGGGCCCTGTGCTTTCTTCAAAGTGGTTTGCAGAGGCTTGTTTGCCATATCTGTGGCAATAAAATAAACACTGTGCATAGAACTTTTGTCTCTTGTTTCAAGGAACCATAAAACATAAAACAAACAACCTAATTAAGTGGCATGACTTCAGAGGGTAAGTATTTGTTCTTTCTCCTATCTTGAGAACTCAGTTCTCAGAGCAGTAAAAAATCTGCTAAATCTCCATCACATATTTTGATCATCTTAACAATGTTGGTTAACTAATCCACTAGTTAACCAACAATGTTTGCTTAACTAGTGGATAATTAATCCTTTTTTCCCAACCATTCTTGCGTTTTGTCTACAATTTAACCCACCAACCACAGAGAATGCAGACAGAGATAAACCTCAAATTCCTGACCATGGAAATAACACAGTGGACCAGAAAGTAAGAATGTGTGTCTTATATCAGCCTCTGAAGAGCCATCAAAGCTCATTTGATTTCATTAGCTTCTCTAGGCCTCTTTGGTATCCTCTCTTCCAAAATAAAAAAGTGTGTATTAGTTCAGTGATTTCTCAAGCACCATTTCCAAACCATGATGAAACTTGGATTTCAGCCCATCAAAATCAGATTAATGACAATGTTCTTAGCTTTTCATAAGGTTACATAAATCTGACTTTTAAGATTTTTATAAATATATTTGTGTTTCAATTGACTTTATTTGTAACACTACACTACAAAAAATCCTAAATGTATTAATAGAAATAGGAAAGATCTGCAAAATTAAAAATTGGTAACTAAGTCAGTCTCTACCTTCATTCATCCTCCCCTCAATTTTGTTTTCTTTTGTTCTGTAGAATACAAACAAATCTCCAGAAATTCCTGGGCTAAAAGATATTTGAAGTGTCTTTCAGTTCTCGGTCTATATAATTAAACTTTTACTCATAAATTTTATGTCAGTCACTTCCACCACTGAATGTTTTTATTATTTCTGTACTAAGAATATGAAGAGATCTTTATGTTTGAAAGATGAATTTTCCTAATTGTTTCCCCATGAATTTTCCTAATTGTTTTACCATGCACTTATTTATTAAATTTATTTAACAAGATAAACATTTCAATAAATTAAAACAATGCAACTTTGAATGAGTCATTCTAAGACTTCTATTGTGCTGACTAATCAAGCCTTAGATAGAAAAGTAATTATCCCTAATCCCATATTGCTATCACTTTCAACTTATACCATGTTTCCACAAAATGCATCAATGTGATTACCATCTGTGCATATCAACTATATAACAGACAGCAGGAGGTCACTTTACTTTAGGATTTCATTTGTATGAAGAAACCCAGAGTTCACCCTTTCTCATTCCAAAAGAGTATTTCCTTTCAGAAACTCCTCCATAAACTAAAATGTAAATGTAGCACATGCTTATTCTACCTTCTAACACATTTAGAACTTTTAACAAATATTGAGAACATTTTTAAAATCATTAAGTTCTGATACTCTGTATATGCAAGAAAAACTGAATGTATTTGTGAAACAAAATAAATAAAATATGGAAAAAAAATCAGTCACTCAATTGTTTTAATTAATAAGGAAAAATATGAAAATAGTAAATAATAGTATTTTTGAATCTTTCTAAGTTTGTGACAACAGGATACAGTTCTCAGACTAACAGAGATTTGCTCAGATGAAATGATATTTTTGAGTAATTCTTATTAATTAAACAACAATATTTATTTGGCTGGCATGTCATACCCCTTGACCTGACAATTATATAATAATAACTGCACTGCCCATGAAAATTCAAAATATTAGTCAATAACATGCATCTATATCTTCATGATGTCATTATTTATAACAGGAAAAATTAAACGAATCTAAATATTAAGTAAATTATAGTATGAACATTCAATAGTTATTATGTTATTAAAAATTATGACTGTAATAATATAAAAGTAAAAAACATGAATAGGAAAATTATGTATCTACTACTAGAGCTGTTATAAAGTTATACACACAAGTTATAATAATGATGGTGTAAGAATGGAAAAATGAGGGGTATTTTTTTTTAAGGGGTAGATTTTTATTTTCTTTATTTTCCAAACTTTCTCTAAAATTTTATATTACTTTTACAAACTTAAAAATATACGTTTAAACATGGTCATACCTAGCTTGAATGAAAGCATATTTTTAAGGTTTAATAAATATTTTCAATTAGCTCTACCTCAAGCTGAAATGAAATGATTTTGCTCATTTTTTCAAGCATGAGACAATTACTTCAAGCATGACACAGAAATATGGAAAACAAGAAAGAATGGGCATTCATGGGTTTCATTCAGATATTAGCTCAAAGGCATCATTTGCAGTTACTTCAACCAACTTAAGTCTTTACTCTGGAATGCATTATGTGTGTGACATGAAATGTATCGCCCAAAGTGTGATACTCAGTTTTTAAGAGAGTGAGGTCAAGGGTGAGTTCTAAAGGTCATCTCATGACAAGAAAGCTGTTTTTCTCAAATAAAAGTGATAATTATCATCACATTCTGAGAAAGGAAATAATGTAATACCAAAGCATTTGACACTGGACTTCTCTGCAATTTTAGATACAGTGATGTCAGTACTAACAACATCCAATAGTAGTGAAGCATGAGAATAAAACTGAGCATTCAAAGCATACAGTCTTACTTGAAAAGACACAATGAGACCTAAAAGTCATCCATGGCTCCATTATTCAAGAAGAGGGGTGGGACTTCCCTGGTGGCGCAGTGGTTAAGAATCCACCTGCCAGTACAGGGGACACGGGTTTGAGTCCTGGTCCGGGAAGATCCCACATGCCGTGGAGCAACTAAGCCCGCGAGCCACAACTGCTGAGCCCGCGTGCCACAACTACTGAAGCCCGTGTGCCTAGAGCCTGTGCTCTGCAACAAGAGAAGCCACAGCAGTGAGAAGCCCGCGCCCCGCAACAAAGAGTAGCCCCCGTTCGCTGCAACTAGAGAAAAGCCCACGTGCAGCAAGGAAGACCCAATGCAGCCAAATAAATAAATAAATTTATGACAAAAAGAAGAGGGGTGGTGGCAGGAAAGGCAAATGAGATAAACAGCAAGATATGGTTATTCATCATCAAAGAAAATGTTTTTGGTTTTTTTGTTGTTGAATTTCCATATAGAGAAGGTAGATAAGGTAGGTAGGAAGGTAGGTAGAATAGATAGGTAGATAATGATTGTGAACATATATTTTTAGTATTATAGAAATTACAAATAAGGATTACAAAATGAGACTCTTAAAAATATAACTTGGCATTTAGCTGCCTCCTGTCAATGGATCTTACTTAAATCCCAGCTGTCGGCAAACCACATATGTATTCAGCTCAGTCCAGCCGTCATCACAGACAGTGCCCCACTGTCCCCTGTAATACACCTCCAGGCGACCCTCATGGTTGCCTTTACCACCTGCAAGTCTGATGACCCCATCTGTGACAAGAAGGAGACATAGAGACTAATCAAATAATTATCAAAAAAGGTAGAACAACATTTTAATTGCACGAGAAATATCACCCTACTCAGATCTCTCTCTAGGCCTTTCGTTAAACTTCCATTAGAACTGTGCTCAATGACCTGAGGTCACTGGATTGTTTCTGGAGTAAAAGTCATAACACATATCTGTCCTAACAAAATAGTCTTTCCTTTTTATTTGTACTCCTATTTCTAAGTAGAAAAACATATTCTGATATAACTCCAAAGTAGTTATTTAGATTTTTCCAGATTAAATCATATTTGGGAAATTTCCTATGGCTTCAATCTCCTTAAGTATGAGCAGTATTAGTCATTTAAATTTAAAAGTTAAAAAAAATAGTAACTTGGAAACAGTTCAAAAATTTAACTGTGAATGAAAAAATATTGCAATATGGAGACAGAAAAAGCTATTCTGGTTAAAGAGTGATCTATCATATCAAGGCATTTATTATTCCTTAGGCATTCATAAGTTACAAAACTGGGGTTCATGTTTTCCCTTTGTTCTTTTATCAATAATACAAATCTGAATTTGAATCTTGTGAATTCAATGAATAATTAATTCCCAGAGAATTCCATAAAAAGCTTCTAAGCAGATTCACAATACAACACATTTATTCCCAAAAAAGTATATTAAAAAGCTATTTCCATCCAAAATAATCCAAACACCCCCCCCCACCAAATGAAACATAAATAATCTTGGGTAAAAGTCATACTTCTCATGACTTTCTGGGATCTTTTAAAGTAAATGAAGGTCTCCTAGCAACAGAATCACTTACAAATGTAAAACTTCACCGTCTGCAAGGCACTGTTACACCTATTATCTCATCTGACCATCTCAGAAACATTACAAGACTATCCTCATTTGAAAGAGGAAAAAATGGAGGGTCAAGAGAATGAAGTGCTCTGGCTTACAATCTGGTGTAAATTTTATATTTCTATTGTGTATAAATGTGTTATTCTAATAAAAACAACAGTGTGTATAGAACTATGTAAATAAAAAAGTAGAACTTCAGCATTTCACAGTCCCTAAGAAGTGTTTCATTTGATTTCTTTAAAGAAAGATTAAAGCCCCCAATTTTTTTCTTCAAGCTCTTTTTACTATAGAAACAACAGATTTGTGATGACCCAACTTCTCTTGCCTCTCCATTTCCCTCTTCTTCCCCCCAAACATGTAAGTACATACACATACACTCATTTGCACTCAGAAATGTCCTTCTTGCAACACAAGACATATCTTGACAAGCATGCTGTGATTTGGAATAGTCTGAATATTGAGCACAGCAAAGGTAACTTGGTTCTTTAATAGTGTGCTTTAATCAACAATCCCATCAATATGGTTTTACCAGCTACAAACATATTCCTAGAATCCAGATAGGTTAATGTATGAATGGACTAAATATAGAATTATAATACCTAACACACAAAATTTATCAATGCACACTGATTTTGACTACTGGGTACTATATATTGCAACAAGATCATATTTTCCCACCTAGCTTTATAGGACTGTATAGCTTGCAACTGAAAAATTCAGAAATATCTATGAATAAGGAGATAGCATTTTAATGTATCATTTGTATTACTTTTTTTTTTTAAGTTTTATTTGGGGGCTTTATTTGTAAGCTCATTTAGTAATATCAGCTAAATTGAGGAGAAGGGAAGGTAAGCCCAAATGGTGCTGGGGGCAAGAGTTGGTTAAGATTAATGGGGTGAAGCTCTTACCTGTTAGAGGGGTACAGGACACTCCAGCATCTTCTTTATGGCCACAATTATGCTCTCCCCAGGAACTCTTTGGACACTGCTCAATAGAAAGCTCATTCCCAGTGCAGCGTACTTCATCCAACATTACTGGGCCAGATCCTTCCCCAAAATATGCCTGATTCCATGCTTTGGCAATGCCACTGAACAAACATAAGAACATAAGTCAGACCAAAGGTTGGCCTGACTTCTTTCTTTTGCTGCTGGCAAAGGTAAAATTATGATTAATTCATAATTTCCCTTATCAATTCACTCCATAGGTCACACATGAATTGCTCTATTTCTTTTTTGTTTGCTTGTTTGTTGATCTTTATATTTTCAGCTATCACAAATCTTTCCAAGACTGCTAGTTATTCTCCAATATTTACTCCCCTTTTCTTCATTAGTAATGGAACCTCAGAGTTTTGGGAGGACAATGGCTATCCAGAATAAAGACCACATTTCCCACCCTCCCTTCCTTACAGTGAAGTTGGTTGGTTTGTTTGTTTTAAAACATGCATAACATAAAATTTGCCATTTTAACCATGTTTAAGTGTACAGTTCAGTGGCACTAAGTACATTCACCTTGTTGTGCAACTATCACTAGCATCCATCTCCAGAACTTTTTAACCATCCCAAATTGAAGCTCTGTACTCATTTTATATGACTAAGTTGTGACCAATAACGTTTAGGTAAAAGTGTCATGTATCACTTCCAGGAAGTATCCTTGTCCCACTTCCTCCTTCCTGCTGACTGTTAGGGCAGAGGTGATGGCTAGAGCTTGAGAAGCTATCTTGGTCCATAAGGTGCCACACTGAGAATGAAAGAACCACAAGCAAGAAAGAGACTGGGGCCCTGATGACTGTGGAACCACCATACCAGCCTTGAGCTATCTCTGGTCTCTTGAGAGAGAAGTAAACTCTTGTCTTGTTTAAGCCACTGTTATCTTCAGTTCTCTGTTACTCACGGCCAAATACCTCTTCACTCAAATTTATTTGACTAAATTTACTTCTCCCACAATTCAACACGACACCATCTTCTAGAACCCCAGATTTAAATGAAGATCACGATTGCCTGTCAAAATGGTTAATGACTTCAGAAATTGCATCTTCAGCCCCTTTCAGCCTTTGAATTTTTAGACTAGAGCATTTATACTTGCAGTTTGTTTTTCGATGATTCTGCATCTATTCCCCATTATTTAAGTTGCCCTTTTCTTATAACATTATAACTATCTTAAGAATTTACAACCAAAACAAGAATATAATTTTTATATATGTAATTCAAATTTTACTGTCCAGAAATAAGGTTTTATCGGAACAAAGGCACACTGATTCCCAACTTACTGTCTGTGGCTGCTTTTGCACTACACAAAACCTCAGTTGAGTAGTTGGAAAGTCTAAAATACTCACTATCTGGCCCTTTACAGAAAAAGTTTGTTGACCCTTGCTCTAGAGGAAAGAGATTAATGAAAGCAAATATGGAAACTGATTTAGAGAACACTGAAAGTTGAACAGAGGAGGAGGAGACAGGATGACTAATGCAGGTCATGGGGAAGCCAGATAGGAAAGCTTTAGAGAAAGGCAGATTAACAGCCTCCTTGGATCTTTGCCCTGGGATAAATGCTAGGAAAGAAAAAGATCTGTTAAAGAAAATTTCAATGGGTATAATTCACTGAGCCAAGATTAGGTGCTATAAGAAAACCAGGGACCAATATGAGAGAATATAAAATTTGATCCCAAACTCATAACAGAAACAAAAAATAAACTCCAGATGGTTTAAAGACCTAAAGGGAAGGGAAGGGAAGGAGAGGGAAGGAAAGGGGAAGGGAGGGAAGGGGAGGGAAAGAAAGGGGAAGGGAGGGAAGGAGGAAGGAAGGAAGATGGCTAAAAAGTAATATAATGAAATAAGAAGAACATAGTTATTATAACCTTGGTAATAAGAGAATTTCCTGAGCAAGATAAAAAATAAAAAACCCAGAAGTCAGAAAACAAAGACTAAAAAAGTTAAATTTAATCACATATAAATTTGAACTACTGTATAGCAAAATACACCATAATCAGTCAAAAGGCAAACAAGCTGGAGGATATATTTGTAAAATGTAACCACAATCAAAGAAAAAAAACACTCCTAGAAATAAATAATAACTTATTATTATCATAATGAAAGACAAAATGACCAACATAAAAAAACAGGGCAAAGGAGAGGAACAGGCTATTTACAGAAGAAGAAATACCCATGGCCACTGACCATATGGTAAGATGCTCAACCTTACAATGGTCAAATTAAAACAATAAGAATGCATTCTTACATATCCTTAATATCATTTTCATTAAATATTTAGGCTAAAAGTTTACAAACTAAAGCCTTTTTATTCTCACGAAAAAAATAACAAACCAAGCCTAAAATATTTGTTAGTTGGGAGTGACTTGGGATGGGCTGGACAGAGTAACTGAAATATATTGTATTTCAAATATGTTAAAGATTATGTGATAGAGGTCCTAGGAAAAAACAAAAGGCCTGATTAACTGCCTCTGAACTGTGTCCCTTCCTTAAGGGAGGACACAGGATGGGAGAGCAGAAGCCCCAAACAGTGACTCTGGGGAAAGTCATCTATGTTATAATGCAGTCTTTTTTTTAAAAAAAAATATTTGGCTGTATTGGGTCCTCCTTGCTGCACGTGGGCTTTTCTCTAGTTGCAGCGACAGGGGGCTACTCCGTTGCGGTGCGCGGGCTTCTCATTGCGGTGGCTTCTCGTTGCGGAGCATGGGCTCTAGGCGTGCAGGCTTCAGTAGTTGTGGTGCATGGCTTAGTTGCTCCGCAGCATGGGTTCTTCCCGGACCAGGGCTCGAACCCATGTCCCCTACATTGGCAGGTGGATTCTTAACCACTGTGCCACCAGGGAAGTCCTATAATGCAGTCTTAAAACACCATTTGGGTGCTTTATTTTCTTCCTTATATATTTCTATATTTTCCATTCTTTACAAACATTATTTTAATGATCACAAAAATGTTTAATTAGAATAAACTCATCAGAAAAACTAATATAATAAATTCAAGAACCAAAAAAGAAACTAACTAGGAAACAATGATGTAAAACAAAGTATGTTTCCTAGCTAAATTTTGAGTCTATTAAAATTAAGATTATAATACTTATAAATACACACATTCCTTCAGCCAGGCACTAGTGTTTCCTGGTGCCCTGGACTGTGCTGGCTCTCAGGGGAATACCAAAGAAATTGATGACTCTGCCCTTCAAGAGACCGTGCAATACTAGGGAAAGCAACATAAAACGCATGGGTTGGGGCTTCCCTGGTGGCGCAGTGGTTGAGAGTCCGCCTGCCGATGCAGGGGACACGGGTTCGAGCCCTGGTCTGGGAAGATCCCACATGCCACGGGGCAACTAGGCCCGTGAGCCACAACTACTGAGCCTGTGCTCTGCAACAAGAGAGGCCGCGACAGTGAGAGGCCCGCACACCACGATGAAGAGTGGCCCCCGCTCGCCGCAACTAGAGAAAGCCCTCGCACGGAAACGAAGACCCAACACAGCCAAAAATAAGTAAATAAAATTTAAAAAAGAACTCCTGGGTTGTTAAAGGCAAATAAATGCTATGTGAATTCGATAAAGCTGTGTATTCTCTGTCCTTCCTTTATGGAAATTATGTCCACACCAGCCCCAGCAGTTCATTTGTAGTAATAGTCCCAGTGTTACCTACTCTCTTACCCTCTGACCACAGAATAAATTTGTGGGGTTCTCTGATATAATACACTGATTTATTAGGTTATTTTCTGTAAAGCTGTTTGACCTACATAGCAGCAATCCCCAATAAACACTGAATTGATTCTATGTTTGATCATTACCCAAAACATTCCTGAACCTACTTAGCTAATCTGACTGTATTCATATAAAGTTTGTTTGTTTTCCATACAAAAAAAAAGCAAATAAATAGTACCATCTGACTAACTCAATCCCCAGGCTTAGCCACTACTTTGAATAGACACAGAATAGAGTCAGGCAATTCTATCATGCAAGATAATTACTTGTTAGGTTATAAAAGATTGGTCCTCTGACTGCAAATATCAGTTTGTGGCACTTGTAACATATGGACGAAAAAAGCTCATTTTTAATGATCAATAGCCTATATTTCTCCCTGGAAAACAACCCCCTCCATCTCCAATTATGATATTTGAAGTACACTGAATGATTACTGCATGCCAGACACTGGTCTAACAGCTTTATATGTATTAACTCTTTTAATCCTCCCTACAACCCCATGATGTTATTATCCCTAATTTACAAATGAGGAAACTGAGGTCCAGAAGTTAATAATTAGCCAGCATTACACCGCCATGAGATGGTAAGGCTTGTCTGGCTACAGAGCAGACCCTGAAACACTTGGCTTTCTTGCAGTCTGCTGGGGCATTTTCAGAGAGATGGTTATGGCATCGCAAATACAGTCTGTCTAAAACGTGTTCATCATTGTTTCTTCCTACAATTAACTTTTCTCTCTTGACTTACCTATTTCTTTCAGCCCTATATTCATATGTATTCTTATTAACACCTGCCTATTTTGCAAACAGTGTAACGTGAAAGAAAAGAAATCCTACACTGAAAGCCATAAATCTCAAGATTCTGTCCCTCACTCACAGTATGATTTAGGGGATTTGAGTAATCTCAGAGGGCCTAACTTTCTTATCTTGTTATATAAGGCCTCTTTCCTGCTCAATAATTCCACATACCAGTAATGTTTATAAAGTATTTTAGAAATTAATAAACAGTAAAATAAGAGAACAAAGAAAGAAACTTTTTTTTTTTTTTTTTTGCGGTACGCGGGCCTCTCACTGTTGTGGCCTCCCCCGTCGCGGAGCACAGGCTCTGGACGTGCAGGCTCAGCGGCCATGGCTCCTGGGCCCAACCGCTCCACGCATGTGGGATCTTCCCGAACCGGGGCACGAACCCGTGTCCCCTGCATCGGCAGGCGGACTCTCAACCACTGAGCCACCAGGGAAGCCCCAAAGAAACATTTTTAATTGTACCAGAAGAATTTTTATTCTGACCACTCAGTAGTATGGTTCTATATGATAATTTTATAGCAAAAAAAAACCTAAGAAGAAAAAGTGTTCAAAAATTTTAAATTCTTATGTAAATTATGGCATATCCACACATAAAATATGATGTCACAGTTCTACACTATGCTTTTAAGAGTTCTAAAAGACCTAGGAAATGCTTCAATGTTAAGTGCACAAAAGGAACTCCAATTAAAATGTCTCTACCTGAAACTTCGCTGTGTACATATGCATTCTCAAGTTCAATTTTCTAACATCAGGCTGCCTCCTTTCCTGCTCATCTTTCTCTGAGTTCTAGGCTAATCAAATTTCAGTATCATAAGTACAGTAATTCCTTTTGCGTTTTAGGAAGCTTGCCAGCTACCAAAATCTACAGACACCATTAAAAGATGTGGGTCAACAAAGACAGCATCTCACAAAGAAATTGTAACTAGCACTCCAGAGAGGCATGGTGTAGTTTCCCTTTGGGAATTCGACAAGGCAAGTATGACTGAGATGAAATTTGCTTAAGAACAAATCATAAATGGAGATAAGCTATGATTATGCTGTCTGCTATCAACCTTGTAACGTTAAAAATTACTTCATCTGAAAGTACTGTGCCTTTAAGTGAGCAAAACAAATTCTAGGGGAAGAGCAGCTGCAGAATATTGCTTTGTTGCAAGCGTATGAGAGAAGTATAAAATCAAGGGAAAGAAAAGCAAACGAACAATGTCAGCTCAGAACCTGGAGTACTTATGATAAAAACAAATCTCCACCAAGCTGGATTGTTGGCGATTACATAGGCTTGTGGAGGATCTTTGCTGCCTTGAATATTTGAAGACATTTTTCCTTTTAATCATTTTTCTGAACACAAATCTTCCATACAAAAGATAGCAGTGAGCCAATGCCTGAGAAAGATGTAAACACTTTACTCAACCCACGCATGTGTTCAACATTAATATAGTCTTCCTTGTGATTCTATCTGTACATTCTTTCCATGTAGTAGACTCCTGTTTGCAACATGGTCTTTGTTTAAACAACAGTTTATATGAGTGAAAAAAGAAAATTTGGCTCTCAAGAAAGAATTCTACGTTAAAACATGAATTTTTAGAATAACTATAAATGTAACTAAAATTTAGTGTCATTTAAATTTTCTACACACTTTTCTAAGCAACAAAAGCTTGCCTTTTCCCACAGAAATATATAAATAATAATAAATGCCTTATACCTTAAATTTAGAGTAATCTATACTACAACTTGTAATGTTAAATATGCCATTACTATACCTTTAAAATTCTCGTATTTTTGGCAAAGACATTGATTTCTTAGTAACTAACACGAAAATCAATTAGCATACCACTGATACCATAATTGGTAACACAGTAAATACACATATATCCACATTAGAGTCTTTTAAAAATATGAAATTCATAGATACAGCTAACTAAATAGAAGTTCTAGATAGAGGAATGGTGTTTGATGATCTCCTACCAAATGTCCAGCTTACTTTGAAATGTTTAATAACATTTTTCTTTGAATGTTTAATAACGTCTTTCAGCTATAAGTCCCCAATTATAGTCAATGTATACTGTATACCTACTATGTGTGCTAACTGCTTTAAAACCACTAAACTCTACATCCGGAAATGTGTTATAGATGAGGAAACTGCAGCTAAGAGATATCCTGCAATTTTTCTTATCTCCAGAACTACAACTCAAATTCAGGTCATTCTGAGTACAGGGCACATGCTCATAATCTTATGCTATGCTGACTCTGACACCATCTAAATTTTTGAGAAAAATTGGTCTTGAAATTGATACCCAGTCAGAACGTTTTGAAAATCTAGTCTCAAAATTTAATGATTAATAACAGTTTTTCTCAAAAAGAGCTAGTTGGCCCTATTCCTGACCCATCCAAAGAAAATGATCACACCAGTCAGGTCATACACCACGAGTAATTATCAGCCCTATGGACACAGGACTTTGCATGTTTATTCCTTTCCCATGCATAAACTGTGAAAGAGCATTTAGGTTGCAGAATCAGTTACAGGGGGGAAATGTAATCTACAGTGAAGGATTAGGCTGATGCCACCTTAATTCAGTGCTTAACCTTATCCTTATCAGTGGAGAAAACCAGAGCTGTTCTGTGACTCCTGATGAGGTGCAAGATGAGAACATATCACCTGTGATGGTTTCTAGCCAAAATACTTGATTGATTTGATCTAATCAAGCTGTTGGACCTAGCCTCCCATTTCAGGAGTTACAAGAACCAGAGGAGTAGGCTAAATGATACCAGGAGGAAGAAACGAGACAAATCCAGAAGGTGGGATAGTCTCCAAAACAACTGGCTTGGTTTTTGGTCTCTTCAACAAGACAGTGTCATGAAAAACAAGAGGCTGTTCTAGATTAAAAGAGATTTCAGGGACATAACATCCAGATGCACTGCAAGGTCCTGGACTAAATTCTGCTGCAGACAAACCATCTGTCAAGGACATGGTGGGAACAACTATGAGAATTTGAGCATGACAGGGTATTAGACAATTTAAGAATGATTACCATTTATATTAGTTGTGATAATGATAATTTGGCTATGTAGGACAATGTTCTTATTTTTAAGAGATGCATACTGAAGTATTTAGAGGTAAAATGTTGGAACATCTTTATTTTGCTTTAAAAGACTTCAATATTAACATACAGTTTTGAAAAATAGGGAGGTCAGCTGCAAAAACAATTGCAAAAAAATTACTGTAGATGGTTCAAGGTACAAAATTCATGCTCTAGTGTCAAAGATTATGCTTAAATGGACAAAATGATACATAGAGAAGATTTAGAAGCCTCCACATCCACCCACCCCTACCTGCCACGACATGCTAAATAATTTTTTTTCTAATTTAAAGTAAAATATCAACTTTCAAAAGATTCCCTAATATAATTTTAGAGAAACTTTTAGGCTTGCTATATCAATGTTCAACATCACTAAAGACAGGGGTTAGAGGATCCAAAATTATAACATACTATTCCAAAATAATCACAACTAAAGCAACATTTAATGTTGGTTTTCATATTGCTGTTTTTATCGCACATGCTTCATTGCCATATCCTGCACAGGAATTATTTCCTTTCTACATTAATAAACATCCTTTGTTCTAAGCACATACCTCACAAATAAGGAGGCAAAGGTCAAAAGTTTAGACAGTATCTGGAGGAAAGGAATTGAACTTCAGTTAAAGCCTAACGACTAGTTTCATCATATGACTCTGGTTAAGGCGCTGCAGCTGACAATGCTAGTCATTACCTGGGAGTAATGTAAAGGCTCGTGATGAAAAGTGGTAAAAGGCTTAGATTCTTAGGGATATAAAATCAGCTGAATTCAGATACAAATAGGTTAGACCTAAGAGTACATAACCGTTCTCTTCAGGGAGCCTACAGCCTAATACAAAGATCAAAAGGTGGCTTTTTCCATTTGTTCAAAGAAATCTGCAATATAAACACACCTACCGGGCTTCCCTGGTGGCGCAGTGGTTGAGCGTCTGCCTGCAGATGCAGGGGACACGGGTTCGTGACCCAGTCCGGGAAGATCCCACATGCCGCGGAGCGGCTGGGCCCGTGAGCCATGGCCGCTGAGCCTGCACGTCCGGAGCCTGTGCTCCACAACGGGAGAGGCCACAGCAGTGAGAGGCCCGCGTACCGCAAAAAAAATAAATAAATAAACACACCTACCTTTGGGTATGGAAATAATAAACTCAAAAATTCAAGCAAAACAAAACAAGAACAAGAAAGACCAACCTCAGGCCCAGCTGCCTGCAGATCACTTCTGCATCTGCATCATCCCACTGGTCGTCACAGACAGTCCCCCACTGACCCGCATGGTAGAGCTCCACTCGGCCCTCACGCGCACTGCTCCCCCCAGCAAGGCGTAGGACGGGGAATGCAGGGCCTGCACAACGTGAAGTTAACAACAAAGTAAACCTACGGATTCACACTGGGAGAGAAGATCAGGTATAGTTTATTTCTTTGCCATTCTCTGTAATTAAGTTATATTTATTAAGTGATATGGACATACCCACGCATGTCTAATATATTTTATGGTACTCTCTACAAATTAAAATACCTCAACTTGAATTACGCTCATACAAATAGCTCTCAAGAGGAAATAGTCTAAGTTCACTTTCCCCCAAGGACCTCAGAAACCAGAAAAGACACACTCAAAATTGCAGTTATTGGAAACCCATTTGATTTTTATGGGGTTGCTGCCACCATTGTGGTGGTGGCATTGGTTTTTTATTTACAGTAACTTGAGCATTACCAATATGTAATTATTAAGAATGGCGCTTATGTCTATTAGATACTTGTTTTCAGCATAGAAATATTTTTACATTTACATAGAAATCAAGACAAAGTTAACATCTAACACATTATAACAAGTTGGTGGACATCACAACCAACACCTTCAAAAAACAATATTGAAAATTCATTTAGGTATGAATCAGTACATACTCTGTGAAGAACCACCAGAGGATTCCCACTGCAAATTCCATATTGTAGTCTACAGTGCCCTTATCTAGCTAAATCAGTTTCTGAATTTCTCTCTCCCTCTTTTTTTTTTTTAATATTTATTTATTTATTTGGCTGCACCAGATCTCTGTTGTGGCGTGTGGGATCTTTTAGTTGTGGCATACGGGATCTAGTTCCCTACTAGGGATCGAACCCAGGGCCCCTGCATTGGGAGCACGGGGCCTTAACCACTGGACCACCAGGGAAGTCCCTGAATTTCTCCCTCTTTATCCTGGTCTAGAATTGAGGACACAGGGAATGCCCTTCCCTTTTGCCTGTGTACCTCAGATACCCAGCTATACAGAGGCATGTAATAAATATTTGTTGACTGAGTGTATTGGTAAGTGATAACTAAAAGCCTAGAAAGGATATCCCAAACAAGGGAAAATAATTAGCAATATCTGTTCATTCAATTCAGTTTATTAAATGGGTATTAGGCAGAAAGGCACTGCACAGACACTACCCTCAAGAAGTATACTGCCTCAGGACATGGACAACATGAGTACAGATGAGACAGCATCGAGAAGACCCTGCAGGGGTTCAGGTGGAAGGGCTGCTTGCTCACCAGTGGGGGTAATTAGAGAATCTCTTCTGAAGAAGTTGGTAGCGGAAAAGGGCCAAGACGATGGATGGGATTTCAGAAGTCAGACACGGGGGAAGTGCAGTTCAGGCAAAACAAACAGTATGAACAAAAACATAGAAGCACAAAGCTGTATGTATTGGGGAAACAGTATGGCAGTCTAATTTTTCTGGAATAAAGGACATGAGATGGTAAAAGTTTCAGAACAGGCTGGGTCCCTATTAGGAAATTTAGTTGACTCTTTTGCCAAATGTTCATCATTTATCCACATGAAATATGCTCCTAATTCTTCCACAGTGTTAGTGGCGTCAATAAATGGTATTTAGACATTCATATTTATATTCAAATATCACACCTGAGGAGGGATTTAGAATAGTGCACATTTGCATCTACTCATATACTAATACTTGTAATATAGTTTTCTTACATAAGTCAACTAACACTTGTAATTTGTAAAAGGATAAAAGACAGGTTTAATAAACATAACTGGGCTTCCCTGGTGGTGCAGTGGTTGAGAGTCCACCTGCCGATGCAGGGGACACGGGTTCGTGCCCTGGTCCAGGAGGATCTCACATGCCGTGGAGCGGCTAGGCCTGTGAGCCATGGCCGCTGAGCCTGCGCGTCCAGAGCCTGTGCTCCGCGACGGGAGAGGCCACAACAGTGAGAGGCCCGCGTACCGCAAAAAAAAAAAAAAAAAAAAACTGGTCTCAATATTGTATATTAGGTTCTTATAATGACTGATCACTGAATTATGCTAATAAACTTAAATTTGCGTGTTATTATGTTTATTTTTCCTTTAAGAAGCTTGGAAAATATAGAAAAAATAATGGAAAAAATGTATAAATTTCTTAAATTATTATATTCTCCTCTACCTCCCCTCCCCCCATCTGCATGGTAAGCTTGGAGAAAACAGAAAAACAAAATTTTTTAAGAGGAAATTTAAAATCACCTACAACCTAGAAACATTGTCGCATATTACCTTACATTTTTTTTAAGGTCATGTTTTACTTTAAAACATATAGTTTTTCCACTGGTTGTATAAGTAATTGTGAAAATATAGAGAAGCTCAAAGACAAAATTTAGTCAACATCTCACATCTTCCCAACAAATACACACACAAAAAAAAAGCATTTGAAAAAGATTTCAGTGAAGTAATTGACTCATATTTAACTTATGGATAAATAAAACTCCCAGACGTTTCATTTAGATTGCTATTTCCTACGTCCAGTACTCACACACGATCTTCTACTTTGTAAGCGTTGGAAGAGTACTAGATGCCAAGACGCCAAATGTAAATTCCAAACTAAAAGAATGTATTAAAAGTCTACTGCTATGCCTTAAGATGGACTCCATGTTTGCTGAGCTATTTGCTTTCACATTCTCATTTAATTTACCATAAAAGCATCTTTTTTCACTCTCACTTCTAATTTATCTCAACCTTCTATGTTTTATATACGCTTACAACCGACCTTAAATTTATCTTTGCAACCAGAGAATAAACAAGTGGACAGATCACAGAGAGTAGAATTAGGTTTTTTTTAAAGTAGATAGAGATCCTGGAAAAAAGAGATTGTTTTCAAGATTTTACTTACTTCACTACTTGAAAAATGTTAAACATATTTTATCAATTGGGCTGAACATAGAATGCAAGCAATATCTACAAAACGCAGTGCACTGTTTAGCCCAATTCACAGCATCCCTGATGTAGCAATGTGTAAACACGTATTTGCCAAAAGTAGTATTACCCAAAGGTGGAGAGGCAAAGGAAGAAAAGGAAAAACTTATAAGACATCAAGATGTAACATGCAAAAAAAAAAAAAGATGTAACATGCACCTTGCCTACCCACAAAAGGATTGTAGCTCTCTGAGCACACGCCCGTACCATATCCTGTACCATTTCCACTGGTTCTTCCAGCCAATTCACAGGAATGACCCTAAATTGGGTCTCTGTATGTTTTGCAGTGGAAACTTTTCAATTCCTCCCCTGATACTTGCACTCAAACAGAAACCACTGCCCTGCGCTGGCTGCTGGCATTCTAAGACCTGGGACATCTGGTCAGGCTGCTGTCTCCAAGGAAAATGTAAAAGGGATACTGTGACAGTGTGGTAGCCTCAGGTTGTGGTCACACATTAAAACAACCATGGACCCCAGAAAACCCATCTGCCATTGTGAAAGGCAGCTATTCCCTCCTCTGCTTCCTTTCTCATGAACATATGCATACTTGTATACTGAAACCACACCCTAATCACCTCATGCCTAGTACATGGTGCTTAGAAGGAGCCCTTATCCAAGGAAGCAATTTGTTTTATGAAATGTGCCATCTACAGCTCAAAAGAGAACACTGGTACCGTGATTCTATTCCATTCTATAAAGTGAGAATATTTTGTTGTAATTGCTATATTTTATGTTTGGTTTCAAGATGATTTTTAACTTGATTCCATCACATTTTTCCGTTACTAAAATAAGTGTTTTCATATACAGTATATAATATTTCTATAAGCAAATTAGATAAAACAGAAAATACGTAAAAAGTGAGCTCAAACGGAAATCCAACTGTTAGATGAAATCCTATTGAAGACTATCTAATTAGACTGGAGATAGACTATGATGGTTCCACTTAGGTCTGTATTTAAACTCTTTTAGGAAATGATTTAACTGAGACACTTTTATCATCTGGAATCAGGCTGAAACCACAATAACAGTGAAGCAAGAGAATAAATATTTTGTTTTACCATGGGAAAAGCTACACGTGACAGCAGCTGCCATCTTCTGAGGACACGTCCCACCCTGCCAGATGTCTTTTTCACAAAGCAGTATATTTTCTTCATCTCCTCGGCAACGGACATTGCTCCAATAAATGGGAATAAGGCCCAGTCCAGAAAATGGGGTTTGTCTTGCTACTCCTTTACCTCTGTAAGTACAATGATAAGGTTAGGTTTATCAAATGTAGGCTAATTTTTATCAAAACACCAGGACTTTTAAAAATGGAAGAAATCAATAAAGACAGATATGGAAGAAAAAGAAAAACATAATGCATTATGTAAATTTCAAGCAAATCAAAACATCAGATCAGAACCTGGATTGATTACCTATGGTAATCTTTTAAGTTAATCTTGAATAACTAATGGTAGGCATGTGCCTTTACTATTTATGGCTGATTTTAGAAGAAAATGGGCAAACACTACAGATATAAATAAAGAGGGAGCCTGGGTGGCTTTGTGGAAGAAGTGTGTCATGTGGCCCAGTGGGACTTGGATTCTAGTCTGAACTCAGTTGCAAATCACTCTAAAGCCTCTCTAAGCTCCGCCTTCTGATATGTAAAAGAAGTCTGGATGCTTGAAGAGTCTTTCCTACTCCAGTATTTCAGGCTCTCATTTTCAAAACGATTATTATTACCAGGTCTAAGCAAGATAATATCAAGAGAGGCAATCCATTCATATTTTTTAAACTTTATATATAGTATTTGCTAGCAAGACTTTGAAACCAATTAATAAGATAATAACTCATATAATCTACATATTTTTAACTCTGATATGTACAAAACTGGTATTACACTTTTAAAAGATTAAATGCTTATCCGAATAACATGATAATCTCTAGAACTGTCTTCATGCAACAGCTTCCATTAACCAAACAGTAAATATTTGGGGTTTATCTTAAATATGAATGTGTCTTAACAGCAATAAAGCTGGGTCGCCCTGCTCTTATTGTGCAATCCTTTTTATTAATGCACTACTAAGAGATGATAGAAGGAATCAGATCAGCTTATCTGAAGTTTATGTTTGCAGAAAGATAGTTTACATTCTTTCATCAATCAAGAGACTAGTAACCTACCACTGTAATTCACATCTCCATTGCAATGTTCTTGTTTTCTTTATTTTTTTTAATTTTTAATGGAGTATAGTTGATTTACAATGTTGTGTTAGTTTCTGCTGTACAGCAGAGTGAATCAGTTATATATATAAATATATCCACTCTTTTAGATTCTTTTCCCATATAGGTCATTACAGAGTATTGAGTAGAGTTCCCTGTGCTATACAAGGTCCTTATTAGTTACCTATTTTATATATAGTAGTGTGTATATGTCCAACCCAATCTCTCAATTTATCCCTCCCCCCTTTACCCCCTGGTAACCATAAGATTGTTTTCTACATCTGTAACTCTATTTGTTTTGTATTGTAAATAAGTTCATTTGTACCTTTTTTTGTTTTATGTCAGAATCTCATAGAAAATTTTATTCTTCCCTGATTTTCAGGGATAATAAAAGCACAGGTAGAAACGTACATAAAGGAAGATACTGACAGCAGCCTACAAATTTGTTACATCTCCAGGCCCTCAAAAGAAAAAGCAGCAAGTCAACATTCTTCATGACTTGCCCACCTGCCAGTGACTGTTTGCCAGACAAAATATTCATTGATAAAATCAGTAATTAACATCCTAAACACCACTAACACTTTGTAGTCTCTCCCCTTCTTCCTTCTTTTATCCTGATTTATTCCAACACTAATTTTTTAAGATTAGTTAACTAATTAAGTACGTTAACCCTATTTGTTACGCTAATAGCATCACAAGTCTGAACAAAACTTAAGCCCTCAAGGTTTGCCTTTGCTAAATACTCATTCCCCACCTTCCTAGTGGGAAGACAGGAAGCTGGAAAATTAAAATTCTTACTGGGGCTTCCCTAATGGCGTAGTGGTTAAGAATCCGCCTGTCAATGCAAGGGACACGGGTTCGAGCCCTGGTTCAGGAAGATCCCACATGTCACAAAGCAAATAAGCCCGTGTGCCACAACTACTGAGCCTGCGCTCTAGAGTCCGCAAGCCACAACTACTGAGCCCGTGTGCCACAACTACTGAATCCTGCGTGCCTAGAGCCCATGCTCTGCAACAAGAGAAGCCACCACAATGAGAAGGCTGTGCACCGCAACCAAGAGTAGCCCCCGTTTGCTGCAACTAGAGAAAAGCCCACGTGCAGCAACGAAGACCCAACGCAGCCAAAAATAAATAATTAATTTAATTTAATTCTTACTGAGTTGACTGGAGTTGACTAACCTTTTCATTTGTGACGTCACATTAGATATTACCACTCACTGATTATTAATCCAAAATATTTGCAAATTGAAAACTTTTCTTTCAGTTCTTTTAACCTTCATAACAAGATCTTTTCCATGCTTTCTAAAGATCTCTGGTGATAAAGACCAAGAAAAATATAAGGCATGTATACTTAGAAAAAATAAATGAGACACAAGAACAGAACAATAAGAATAAGAACAAAAACCAAAAACGTTTGTTCCAAAATGTAACCTTCTGCCCCTGGGAAACCCCTTGAAACGAGGCATAAAGGTGCAGGGCCTGGTGGGCGTCAGCATACACCAACCTATTTTAAGTGCGCCTACAGTCCTGGAAGGGCCGGCAGCTCCTCAGAGGACAGTGGATGCTGCCGGAGCTGAGCGAAGCTGCCATCTATTACAGGACCTCCTTGGCACAGAAACCTATGTCCCAGGATATCACCCCTTACCCAGCATGGGATGAAAGCACGAGTGAACCTCACCTCCTTCACATACACACAAATGGAATTTGTGGGTGGCTCAAGGTAGAAAGTTAAAAGCAAATGACAGCAACCTCAGGCTGCACAGGCTGCTGAGAAAGTAAAACTCTTAGGACCAAATTCCTTGCTTCCTAGCACTGAACAATTATTTTGTTAAAGTCAAAGACCAAAAGCTGCTTTGAACTTTGGACCACTTAGCATTTGTCCATTTCCTAGTCAGTAGGGCTAGTAACAAGTGAAGCGCATTTGTATGTAAGAGAACTCACTCCTTCCATTTGGGGCCCTTTCTTTATATCTCTTCTGAGAAAAATGAGAGTGAGGAAAGTGAGAATGAGGAAGGAAGATGTAACCTCTCCACAGTAACGATGGGTGCCCAGCATTCCTCTCAGATATCGTCAGACAGATTTGGTCAAGGATGGGCGAACTCACCCCAGCTGCAGCTGGTGACAAACAACCGATGCATCAGAGTCATCCCAGTGGCTGCTACAGACTGTGCCCCAAACTCCATTTGCATACACTTCCACTGTGCCTTCAAACTCGTTTTTGCCACCATGAAGTCGGACTGACCCTAAAGTGGAAAAGAATCCCAAAATCCTTTAATAGCAAATAATCATTTGAACATACTGAACATACTGATAACATGATTTTTTCACTGAAGTGGTGAGAGATCCAGTCTCTCGCTGTTCACAACATGGGTTTCTTTCTTTAAGTGAGGATTTAGCAGGCTCTTTTCTTGGTTTTGGTAATTAACGTCCTGATGTCAATGCTAATGATACTTTCTTTTATCTAGGCAAAGTCCAATTATGATTTTCAAAGGGAAAAATTGGAAGACTATGACTAATGGCTGATAATTGCATCCCAAGTATTAGATCACATCACATATTAAGTTCTTATCATTTATGGATCACTTTCCATCTACACATGAGGTCACAGATTTAAAAAAACAGAGAAACTAAATTCAATGTTCTGTTTATAAATTACCTGTTATTGGCTGTTATGTCTTCCTTCTATCTGATTTGTTCTTCCACTAAAGAAGAATAAAATGCTCTTCCCCTTTTAGCCTCCAGCACTAGTCGTGACAAGTCTAAAGCTTATGTCTATAAGTTCAGAAAGGTGTTCAGTGTTGAAAACATTGCCTAAAGTTAGTCTTAGGGAAACTGCCGCTAAGTAGAGTAGTTTGGTGTAACTGAATGGCCCTGGAACTTCACTTCCCCTTACATACCATCCCACTCAGCTGCTCCACAGTCCACGATTTGAGTCATTCTTTTCAGTCTTGAAAGAGTCAAAATTTAAATTCAAGCACCCCTGGGGAAAATAATATTTTAAGTCTTATCCCTTAAGTGTGGATCAAAGTGGTTACTAGACTTATCGTGGTGATCATTTCATAACGTATGCAAATATCCAATCACTATGCAGTACCTCTGAAACTAACATAATATCATACATCAAATATATTTCAGTTTTTTTAAAGAAGTGTGGATCAAAGGCCTACATTTCTCTTCTCATTGTCATTGGTTTTCAGAGTGGGTACTGACTGATGGGCAGCAATTGGGACATTTGCAGAGACAGAATCAAACTCAGACAACTTAAAAATTTCATAAAATTCTGTGAAAAGTCGCTTAGGATGGACTTTTTTTCATAGGTAAAGAAATTAAGAAATTAAATTTGACCAAAATTTTCTGGCATGTTTTGCATATTTCAAAGTCATTATGGATGGCTTTATAATGATTTTCCGAAAACATTAGATTCACAAATCATCCATACATTTCATTTGCACTAGCCTAGTCATCTACCATTATTACTTTCCACATAATCATCCTTAAAAACTGTAACTATTTAAGAGAAACATATCCTATTTCTCATGACAATGTGTCAATTTTGTATCAAAATTGTCAAACAGAAGTGTCAAACAAAAGACAATAATAAATGGAGGCAAACACAGCACTGCCAAATCCTGATTATTCAGGAGAGAACATGGGTGTGGGTCGTTCATATGGCAGATAATCTAAAAATCATTCATATATTCTAAACTTCTTTAATTTGACCAAGCAAGAGGAAGCCCTGTCTAGCTCGGTGAAAACTGTGAACTGCAGAATATTTTTAAAGAAATATGTCTGAAGAGTTTAACGAACTTTAATGATTTCTTTTAATCACAAAATGTCTTCTATAGAGACCCACATAATATTATGCACAGTACAAATGCCAGCAGTTTATTTCAAAGAATTCATTTGTTCACCTGAAACAAATGTTTATTTGAAATGATATTTAATCTATTATCTGTTTATTAATTCCCCACCACCACCACCAAATTATTCACGTGAAAGCGGTGGAAGAAATTTCTAGTAATGAAAACAAACTGGAACTCTACTTATGCATGTTAAGTAATCATAACAAAATGTAAAATATTGCCTAAATCACTAAAAAACTATCAAGAAGAAATGATGCATGCGTATCATCTAAATGATTAAGGCATCTACAAATGAGAAGGCAAAGACTCTGCATAAAGTATAATTGTTACCATAACATCATTATAATGAAAATGATAACACTGGAAATAATTTCCAGGTCAACTATCAGTTCCACCATCATTGCCCAGATGCTCCCAACATGCTGTGAAAGCCTGGATTCATTTAGCTGCATCTGCTATATGGCAAGAAAGGTGGAGTGCTCATCCAATTTTCCTTTAACAAATGAAGACAAATATTTGCAATTCTGGAAAGGCAATTTGCATGTCAATGACTAATTAATTCTCTATCAGAATCCATTCCCAACACCAACATCCCCAAGGCACACACCTTCCTAGCAGCGCCCCTCCACACAGTTTATCCTTTCCTTAAGGCCATAAAAATTTCCAAAATATTCTGAGTAATCATCTACCTTGAACTCAAAGTGAGTATTTCTTACTGGTATGTAATTCTGTGAAGTTCACAATTCTTCTAATAATTTTTTGAAAGAGCTTTTTTTAAAAAAAATCAGCTTAAAGGCTTCCCTGGTGGCGCAGTGGTTGAGAGTCCGCCTGCCGATGCAGGGGACGCGGGTTTGTGCCCCGGTCCGGGAAGATCCCACATGCCTCGGAGCGGCTGGGCCCGTGAGCCATGGCTGCTGAGCCTGCGCGTCCGGAGCCTGTGCTCCGCAACGGGAGAGGCCACAACAGTGAGAGGCCCGCGTACCGCAAAGAAAAAAAAAAAAAGCAGCTTAATAATATGCCTAAAATAATAAATGCATGAACACACAATTCACACTATGCACATTTAAGACAGGCAGTAGTTTTTGTTTGGTTTTGGTTTTACTCTGTTCCTGCTTCATTGACTCTCTTAGAATGCTTGAGATGGTTGAACTGTAATTCATTTCCCTTTATTTATGGATGTGTAAGCTATGGACCCAATCAACTGAGCAGTTGCAGAGCCATGACCTCCTAGATTCCCACCCTTGCTATGGTCCCCTTGTCTCTCAATCTGAGAAAAGACCCTGTGATGTAATAAGCACCTTTCAGTACTTCAGCTACCAGTTTATGCATTCTGACATGTTGGTTTTCACCATTCTATTTGAAGTATTACAACTAATCTACCAAACATTACATGGGGATAAACTAGCCAGGCAGAAGCATAAGACAGCCTGAAGAGTTTCTCTACACTGCACAACAGGAGAGAAGTGGCTTTCTGGTGATCTACACTTGAGGCTGATACTCCAGTGGAGGCTGATTTGTCCCATCGGCTGTACAAATGTGTAGGAGAACTATATATTTGCACACATTTATAGGTGCACAATTACAAGAGGAAATACCCTTAGCTCAATGGAAAAAAAAAAAAACAGAGAGAGAGAGAGAGAGAGAGAGAGAGGATGAAACAATAAAGCAATCCACAAAGCTCATAGCCTGGTAAACTCATTTCTATTGCTACCTTACTAATCATAAAGTTCTTCAGATAAATTCTAGACCAATTCTTTGGCGATATTGCTCCACTGTCACAGTCTCTTATTATCAAAAATTGATCGGTCAGTCCTCCTTCGCTCACAGTCTCCTACTCCAGCCCAGGACTTTGCGATGTCCCTCATAGTCTCTGCTAATGCCTCTGGGCCACACCCCAGTGAATCCAGGGCTGCACAGTCTTAAAGTCTCTCATGTGCCAATTTGATGGAAAATATTCTATTCTAAATATTCCTATTTTTAAAATGTGGTAATAACAATAATTTAAAAGTTGAAGTCTCAAACAGAGGTTTTAAGTCAACTATAATAAGCATTGCAAGTTTATAGGCTAAACCAGTAACAGAAGAAAGTCTGGAACTATGAAGCTATGCATGATGGCACACCATGGAGAGGAGCCCCAGAGTTCATGAAATGAATTGTTGCAAAAAGCAACAACGACAACAACAAAACCCAGTCAGCTGTACCAGTCTGCTGCTATTACAGCTACCTAAAGGCAAAATGTGCCAGTGAACAACAATGGTAAGAATTCTCCTACCTTAATTCCCTGCCAAAAATGTTGAGCTTACTGTCATTTTAGTTTACTATTATTTTTCTTCTATGTAAATGTATCTCCAGTTTTATAAAGGAAAAGGAACATAAAAGATTTTTGTTACAGAAATTTGCTTTGTGGACAACTTTGCTAAAAAACGGAAAAACAAAGAGACAACTTTGCTAAAAAACAGCTAAAACAAAGAGACATTCCCGAGGGGCTCTTTTTAACCATGTTATCAGCCTCTCTCGACACAAGGTAATCTAGAGAAGGACAGCTAACTAGATTAAAATTGTCTTCACAAGTCTCATTGCTTTTGTAGTTTTTAAAGCTATTGTGATGGGCTGAATACTATTCCCCCAAAAGATGTGGAAGTACCGACTTCCAGCGCCTATGAATACCCATGACTTTACTTGGAATAGGGTCTTTGCAGATGAGCAAGATAAGATGAGATCATTAGGGAGGGCTCTAATCCAACATGACTATATTCTCAAAAAAAGTAGAAATCTGGACAGAGACACATATAGGGAGAACGCCACCTGAAGGTTGCAGCTAATTTCCACAAGCCAAGGAACTATCAGAAGCTAGGAGACAGCCCTTGAACAGATCCTTCCCTAGTGCCTTGAGAGGAAGCATGGCTCTGCTGACACTGACCTTGGACTTCTAGTCTCCAGAACTGTGAAATAATAAGTTTCTTTGTCTAAGCCACTCAGTTTGTGGTACTCATTACGGCAGCCCTAGCAAACTAATAGAGCCATTATGGTATTACCCCTCCTTGGACAGCTGGCAAAACCTCCCTTCTCATACTCCATACTTCAAGAAGGCCTAAAAGAAATATTAGGAAAGGAACCAAATAGGTCAGCTATCTTTGCTCTCTAAATCCAGCTCATTCCAAAATAAACCAAATGAAAAGACATGCCTATTTAGTTAACTCCTTAAAATATATTTATAGAATAGCACTCACTTGAAGACAAAGAAAAACGGCAAAAACAAAGATCCATCCCAGTAGTGTTTTCTGAATAGAATTAATAATAAATATTTTTAAAATCACAGTTTGATAAATGAGTAAAAGAAAATTAATGTTCTTTTACTTTAATGAGATCCTTTCTCATCT